GCGGCAAAGGCGCTCTTCGGCGGCGGCTTTGGAGAATTTTGCCTTTCCCAAATGCTTGAAATTTGGCAGGATTCTACACAGTCCGCCAATAGTGAGCTCCTGCTCCTTAGTGAGTTGCTGCATTTGGGAGGCGGGAACAGAAGCATTTCTTGACTTCTTAAGTTTACGATCAACTGCGAGATCGTGCGGTTGCGTGTCCAATGTACGTCGATCGACTGCGTGATCGACGCTGAAGTTAGAGATGTCTGGATCTCTTCTCGCGTTCCGTCTCTATCCGGCTCGAAGGACCAGAAAATTTTGCGTACGGCGCAAAATAACCGCCGGTAGTAAACTTGAGACGGAATGAAAGTAGTCCGATGTCGATTGATAATTTATTTGGACTCCCACAGTCACGTAAATCAGTGTATAAAATTGAAGCACGGTTTCGATCAGTGTATAAAAGAGAAGCATCATTCAGGACCGAACAGTTTTATTAACTTAGAATTATGAATAGCCACATTATTTGTTGAAAAATCAAAGTTTCCGAGTCTTGTTCCTCTATAAATGGAATCTAAACATTTTCCAGGAGAGAGAGAGAGAGTTTTATACAGTTCTTAAAATTCATTCATCTTGGTATCTGGCGTATCAGTGTTCTCGTGGGATAATAAAAGGTCAAATCATAACTGTATCGCCACCAAAACTACGGTTCACAGTTACATCTTGCGTTTTGCGTGAATCATGCCAATGAAACTTAAAACCGTCTAAATTAAATTTTTTTCGTTCGAGAATATGATGTTTCTCCATCGTTTATTCCACGACATGTACTTCTTAGCAAACGCAAGTCTCGCTTGTTTATGTCGAAATGTTAATATGGAGGTTTGGACACTTTCCTATACCATTTAAAGCGCTTGCTTTTTTGTAAAATCTGTTGCACACGCTTTTTATTGACCGGGACATTTAATTCACAATGTATTTTAATCACTGTTACACTTTCTTTTGCGGCAGCACGTAAAGTTAAAGACTTTTATCTCTATATCAACTTCGTATTTCCACTTTTCGAATAATTTGTGCCATAATTATCAAATAATTTAATAATTAAGAAATGTGATTAATTAAGCCAATTTTTCGGTTCGAAAGACCTACAACTTTGTATGCCTTATTTATACGCTTTCGTCGTTATATTTTCTCGCTGCTTGTACACTCCCCCCAATCGCTACATCTAGACTGCATACTTAAGTAATTA